AAAACAAATTTAATTTAATTTTTTTTAAATAAAGAAACTATCACTCAAAATAGCCAACACAATCTTAAAGAAGAACAAAGCTTGAGGACTGACACTACCTGACTATAAGACTTAGTATAAGATTGGTATAAAGCTATACCAATCAAGACAGAGTGGTATGGCTGAAAAAATAAACAAATAGATCAATGAAACAGAATAGAGAATCTGGCAATAGATCCACATAAATATAATCAATTGATCTTTTGTAAAGGTGGATTTTCCACAAATGGTGCTGGAACAAGTGGACATCTAGACACAGACCTTATATCTTTCATAAAATAACTGAAAATTGATTATAAAGATAAATGTAAAATGCAAAACTATAAAATTCCTAGACTATAATAACCTAGGTAAAAATCCAAATGATCCTTGATATGGTGATGACTTTTTAGATATAACACCAAAGGTACAATCCGTAAAAAATAATTGATATGCTGGACTTCATTAAATTAAGAACTTATGCTCTAGGAAAGACAATGTAAACAGAATGAGAAGATGAGCCACATACTGGGCGAAATTTTTTTTGCAAAAGACACATCTGATAAAGGACTATTGTCCAAAATATAAAAGAACTCTTAAAACTCATCAGTAAGAAAAAAAAGAACCTGATTTTTAAAATGGGCCAAAGACCTTAATGGACACATCATCAAAGACGTTAATAGTTGGCAAATAAGGATATGGAAAGACTCTACATCATATGTCACCAGTGAGAAGCAAATTAAAACAACAGTGAGGTACCATGACATATTTATTAAAATGGCCAAAATCCAGAACACTGACAACCTGAAATGCTGGTGAGGATGTAGAACAGCAAGAATTCTCACTTGTTGCTTGTATGAATGCAAAATGGTACAGCTACTTTGGAAGACAGTTTGTTGGTTTCTTACAAAACTACACATATGCTTTCCACAAAATCCAGCAATAGCACTCCTTGGTATTTACCCAAGGGAGTAGAATACTATGTTCACACAAAAACCTGCACAAAGATCTTAGAACAGCTTTATTCATAATTGCCCAAACTTGGAAGCAACTGAGGTATCATTCAGTAGGTGAATGGATAAATAATAACTGTACAATAAAATATTATTCAGTGCCCCAAACTAATGAACTATCAAGCCACAGAGAGGCAGGGAGGAAGCTTAAATGCATATTGCTAAGTGAAAGAACCCAAACTGAAAATGCTTCATACTATATGGCACATACTATATGATACTTTGGAAAAGGCAAAACTATGGAGGCAGTATAAAGATCAGTAGCTGCCAGGGGCTGGGGTGGGGGAGGGATGAATAGGTGAAGCATGGAGGATTTCTAGGGTGGTGAAAATACTCTGTGTGATGATGGATACATGTCATTATACATTTTTCCAAATCACAGAATGTACAACACTATGCACTTTGGGTGATTATGATATGTCAGTGTAGGTCGACCAGTTGATACAAACACACCACTCTGGTGGGGGATGTTGATAATAGAGAAGGCTATGCACATGTGGGCCCGAGATATATAGGAAATCTCTATATCTTCCTCTCAATTCTTCTATGAACCTAAAACTGTTCTAAAAAATAAAGTGTCAAAAATGAAAAAGAAATTGTCCTGGAAATGTTCTACTTGTGGAGACAAAATAATGAGGTGCTTTGGAGCGGATCTTTTTTGAGAAAAATCTCCGGAGTGTCCTTTAATTGTGAGGCATTAGGCATTCATCCAGGTCAGAAAGGCAGCCTGGAGTTGACACCTGCTGCTTTGTCTACCTGCCACTTTATTTTGGAGGAATTACATCACAAATTCTAGAAACTGTCCTTTGTATCTATGTTGTTTTAGTGGGATCTTTCATATTTTTCAATGACCCTGTTCATTATAATTGAGCACTTGACCCCAAATGGGCTGATTATAATTCCCTAAATGCCTTGAATTTAGGACATAGGAGGAGTTTTGAACTCAAGAACTAGCAAGGTCAGTTATTTTTAAATAAACAAATTCAATTAATAGAGGTGATTATGTTTCATGGAATTCTTAGTACATCAGAATGTTATCTCTGAGTAGGGTCAAGTGCTATCACTGCTCTGCTATACTAGTTGTCAAAGTTTGCTAATAGCATACAAGGTGCAGCAAAAGTAGGCTTATAGTTGTTCATTTGGAAAATAATACAGTAACTAATAAATAATAATATAAGAATCTCTATGTTTTGTATACTCATAACTGTAAACCTACATTTGCCACACCCATATATAAATGGAAGCATTTATTTGTAGAGTTAAGAACAGCTGGGATAAGTAAGAATGCCACCAAATCATTTAATTTGAATATGAATTCTTTCTATAATAGTTAAGTCTAAATTTGGAGTGATGGATGTGTTAACTAACTTTATTGTGGTAGTCATTTCACAATAAATGCATGCATCAAATCATCACATTGTAATTTACACCTGTAACTTACACAATGTTATATGTCAATTATATCACAAGAAAGCTGGAAAGGTGAAGTCTAAATTTAATTTTTATATCATTAAGGACTCTTGATTTTAAGTGATAGAAAAAAATAAAGATTTTTTAAAATAGAATTCTTTGATGCATATAATTAAAAATCTGGGATTATATTTATCTTTATGTATTTCTTCAACCAGAATGAGCGCTCAATGTCTCACTTCTCTGTCTTCCCTGTGCCAATTCCATTCTCTGTCATGCTCAACCTTTATACTGCAATGTGGCTACATCTTCATAATCCCAAGAACAGTGGAAAAGAGGAAGTTCTTCTCCCCCGCATTAAATATAAAGATCTAGGGTGTTATTCTAAATATAAATCTGTCACAAACCCATCCCTGAACAGATCACTGGGCCCATAGGAAGATCTAATATACATGGCAGGTTAGCCTAGGTTATGGCATGATAAGCAAAAACCCAACAACCCAATGGCCATAACAACAGTCCTTATGTCTCTCACAGGCTCTGTGGCCATCAGAGGCAGGGTGCTTCTTAGTCATCCTCACTCCCGGACTCACCCTAAAGGGCAACCACTGTCTGCTGCTGTCATGGTGGCAGAAGAAAGAGTTTGGCTGGACCCACATTAGCAACCATATGCCTCACCTCACAGTGACATATACTTCCTGTATTCACTATTCATTAACCAGACAGACTCGTCACAAGCCCCACTCAACCACTGGGGACAAGGAAGTACAACCCTTACCATGTACTCAGAATGGGAAAATTTAATTTTTTTTGCCAAATAGCATTAATAAATGCCTAATGCACCATTTGGCTCAAATTATATACCCACCTAGACCTGGGAGCATAGTCAGCCCCATTACAATTGAGACCCTATATGTCCTCACAAAAACAATTTAGTCTATTGGTAGAAAAAAGTAAGAGTTGCCATCAGAAAACAAAACAAAACAAAACAAAAAACCCAATATCACATTTGATGAAGTCAGTTTCTAGTAAATGACCGAAGTTTTGGATTCAGTATGAGTGTATTTTCCTATGCTAGTAAATTATTAACATGAAGAGTTATAAACCAAAAGCCAAAAACTAAATGTCATTTTCTCCCCATCCTCCTGATTCTAATCTGTTTGACCCCTGAAGGATCAACACAGTCTAAAGTTTTCACAGTAGACATTTTAAATCTAGTTCAGTTGCTAATTTATAGGTCATGAACAGCGCAACCTATGACACTAAGTTAGTTTTAAACCCATAACTAATTCTATTAAAAAATAAAGATGTGTGAGTCACACTTGGGTTTTCATTTTTTAGTACCTAGCTAGAATGGTTCTTTCCCTTGTAGTTGAAGTATCATTATATTGGGGGTTTTATTTTTCCTGCAAGATGTTCAATATCAAGGGTTTTCTTCCTTGGGATGTGAAGAACAGATATCCATTTAAGTGAATTCAAAAAAAGAGGAATCTACTGTAAGGCTACAATAGGTAATCTCTGCTTTCTCCATCTCTAGGACTACGCTGATTTTTTTCATTTTCATTTTTTTCCTCTTCTTCCTTAGCATCTCCCCTTCTATTTTCTTTCATAATGATCTCTCTGCTCATTCACTTTCATAGCCCAGGACATGACAATCAAAGGACAATGACAGGTTGCAGTCTCTGGACCTCTTAGTCAAATTCCAAAGAAAAAGAATCAAATTCACTGGGTGTTAGAAACTGGTCTTCTGTTAGTCAAATCAGTTCTAGTTGGGGGGAAAGTATCACATGGTACATATCACTGCTTCTTTCAGGGCTTTTGGGTGGGGCCAGTTAAGCAAGAAGAATTGTACAGAAAGCTAATTGGCTATGACTACTGTAGGAATTAGGATGCAAATATTAATACCACTTATGGTTACTGCAATTATAAGTGCTTTAAATATTAACTTATTGAATCCTATAATGCAGATACTATGATTGGCCTCATATTATAGATAAGGAAACTGAGATACAGAGAGATTTAAAAAAAAACAAAACTCGCCAGTGGTCATGCAGTTACTGAAAGTAGGCAGTCTTGTTCAGAGTCTGTGGTCTTACCTTTCATGCTATCCTACTACTCTACTATCCTAAAGCATCCAAGTTTACGTCAGAGAGTGTATTAATGTTTTGGGGGCTGTACTCTTAACTCTGTTGCCAGTAGTAAAATGCTTCTCAATCTCCAAAACTCATGTGGAATATCAGGAATATCAGTATTTTCACTTTGTGGGCTTCCCTGAGTACCTTCCTTCTGCTGCTAAACCACCGTGCACTGATGACCTGAATTACCACATGGATTACTTTGTTCTGTGATGGAATAATATTATAATACTATGAGGTTCTGTAGAGCAAGGGTGATATGTTTCTTATCATTATATTCCTGGTGCACAGCATAATTAGTGACACATGGTATATACTTAATGAATTGTTATTAAATTATTCACTTAATGAAAAACATAAATGCACTAACTATGATTTGTGCTGCACAGATTTTACCAATTTCTCTTCTGCTATCATTACATAGGACAAAAAGTGCTTCTATAAGAAAACCCGGGAACAATGCCTGTGAATCTTTGAAATTACTGGGATTCAGAAGCCGAGACAGTGGCTGGTTTGGGCTGGATGGTGTTGCAGTGAGAACCACGCAGAGTGGCTTGATATCATTTGAATTGAGTGAACACTTAGAGAGGTAATACAATAGTAAACAATAAAAGCTGATGGTGTTCTATCCCAGTGAGTTATTATTGGTTTTACGGGGATGGGATCATAGGGTTACATTTTTATTCTTCAGATAGGAGTATGAATAGTCCCTTAGGTTGTGCTTAAGATGCAAACCAGAGCTGACATGAAGATGCCATCTGTAATTTCATTTATGATAGTTTAATAACTGCTTTTGGAAACCACTCATAACTTAGATTTATTTTTACAGGTTGCTTCTAACTCCGAAATAGTTTTAAAATAGCACCTTCATTTCTGAAATTCCATGGCGATAGTAATTAACTGTTCATAGTATGCTCATCTCATAACTATGTATTTACAAACTGCATTTGTTATTTCAGTGTCCTCATTTTGCTTTCTCATTTCCATGCTTTCTAGACAGCTCATTATGAGAAGAGTTTTAGGCCACTTTAAGGTTGATGAGCAGTAGACATTCATAAAGAGAGGGCAATCATATGTCCAAAGATAGACTGTATTTCATAATGGAACAGCTTGTGTCTACAATTGTCTTGGGTCAGGTTCGAGTCTAAGATGTAAATGCAAATGACTTATTGAAAAAGGGCCCTCAGGTGAATCCTGCAAGGGAATAAAAGAAACAACAGGCTTTGCAGTGTGACTATCAAGGTGTCTGGCTTTCCACCCCTGTGTCAGTCAGTCCTTGTCTCTGGGAGTGGGGCTGCTTTGGATTGAGGGTTCCTGCTGGGCAGTTCCCTGGAGAAGGGCTGGATGATGGATGATCCAACCAAGGGGAGGGGTCTGTGTTAATTTGGTAGGATCCCAGAATAAAGTAGCAAAAAACTGGGAAACTTAAACAACAGAAATTTATCGCCTTAGTTCTGGACGCTAGAAGTCCAAAGTCAAGGTTTTGTTAGCAAGGTGCATTCCTTTTGAGGACTGTGAAAGAAGGACCCATTCCAAGGCTTTCTCTTTGGCTTGTAGATTGCTGTTGTTATGTCCACCAGGCATTGATTCTGTATGCATATCTTTGTGCCCCAAATTCTTCTTTTTATGGCGTCAGTCATATCAGATTGGGGCCCATCTTAATGACCTCACATTAACTTCACCTCTGTAAAGACCCTATCTCCAAATAAGGTCACATTCTGAGGTACTGGGTTTTAGGATTTCACATATGGATTTGGGTAAAGGGGACACAATTCAACTCATAATAATTCAATCCATCATAATAATCCTTACAACACCTGACAGAGAGGAATATTTCAACTCCTAGTTACTGATGATATACATATTCTGAATCTTATTGCTAGTAAATAGATTATTTTGATCATCATTCTCTTCTATAATTTGAAATACATATTAGTAATGCTAATTAAAATATAATTTAAAATATGCTGCCATATTTAGAGCTGAGCTGAGACTACAAAATTTCTTTGTTTAAGAACATCTGTTTTAGAATTTGTTTTGATTTGAGCTGGTTTCCTGACTGCCCAGAGTTTCATTAAAGTCATTCATGAATCTAACCAGTTGGTCATCAGAATGCTTGATTTTGCCCTAGCCAGTTTTGCTCAGTGGATAGAACCATGGACTGAAGGGTCCCAGGTTTGATTCTGGTCAAGGGCACATGCCTGGGTTGTGGGCTCAGTCCCCAATGGGGGGCATGCAGGAGACAGAAGATCAATGATTCTCTCTTATCATTCATGTCCCTATCCCTCTCTCTCTCTCCCTCTCCCTTTCTCTCTGAAATCAATAAAGGTATATAAGCATAACCAATGGACAGAAGACACTGGGGGATAGGGGAGGCTAGGGGACTGTTTAGGGCGGGGGGGGGAATGGACACATATGTAATACCCTTTGTAATAAAAAATTAAAAAAAAAATTTAAAGAATGCTTGATTTTAAAGGAAATTTAGATGACAGTGGCTCCTTTCCTGGGAGTTACCAGTCATCAGTGATATTTTTGAGACTGTATGTTTCCCTTTGGTCATGCCTCTTCTCTCCCATGCAGGTTTATTGTGGTCCACCTGTCCTCCATTGTGGACAATAGCCATTTGGTTTCTTTTGTGAAATCTTTAGAGGAAGCCATGCTCAGCACCAGTGCCTGCATTGTCCTGTACCACCAGAAAGACAGTCCGCACAGAGTGGTTATCTCAGTGGTGCCTTCTAAAGACCTAAACCAGGAGCTTAGGAACTTGCGCTTGGAAGGCTGCAGTGGTCCTCCAGAGCCATCTCGGCATTTCCAGGTGAAAGAAGGAGAACAACTCCTTTTAAGGTTTACTGGAAACATATTTGCTTCAAGTAAGTGTAAAGACATCTTTTTGCATATTCCACGGGCTATCAGCCACAAACTTCAGGAGTTTGCTCAACTTGTATTCCTAGGAAAACTTCTGAGGACTGAGGGGCTTCTGAAGAGCAGGGATAGAAAGAAACTCGTTTACTTCTTTCTTTCCAGTCTCTTCCTTTGCTTTTGAGGGGAGGCATTCTCCTTTATGGGCAGACTCTAAGGCAGTGATGGCGAACCTTTTGAGCATTTTGAAAACCCTAACTTAACTCTGGTGCTGTGTCACATATAGAAATTTTTTGATCTTTGCAACCATAGTAAAACAAAGATTTACATTTTTGATATTTATTTTATATATTTAAATTCCATTTACAAAGAAAAATCAACCAAAGAAATGAGTTTGCGTGTCACCTCTGACATGCTTGTCATAGGGTCGCCATCACTGCTCTGAGGGATACTCTTAGAAATCGTCTTCTCTATGATTGCTCTCTGAGTCCATGCTAGGATCACCTCGTTCCTACACCAAAGCAGTTGCCTCCTAAATACTCCTCTTTCTCCACTATTAGTCACAGGAAGTCCATTTCCATATTGTGACAACAGTGACCTCTTATAAATAATACTTTATTACTCTCCTGATTGAAACCTTCTGATTACCTCCTATTCTACTTAAAATAACACCCAAACTCCTGTTGTCTTACAATCTAACCTGGGGTCAACAGACTCCTAAGAGATATGTGGATAGGACTATATTCCAGTACAATTGTCTTTTTTATAATCCCACTTATTTTATTTTACATATTTAAAAGACTGCTCTGAGAAGGAATCAACAGGTTTCACCAAAGTCCAAATGAGTTCATGGCACAAAAGTGGGCTGGAACCTCTGACCTGGTGACACACCCCTGCTTCCTGTTGATCCTCATATTTATCTAGTGGTTTTTTTTTTTTAATCTAGTGCTTTTTGTTTCCACTATAAATCTTACCACAAGTTGGAATTATTTTACTTATTTAATTGTTTACTTATGTTTCATTCATATGCTTATGCTGTGTCCTAGTTCATCAAAGGCTTTCAATAAATGTGATGATGCTGAGAAAAAACAAACAGGGTGAGTGAATCTGAGAGGGGGCAGGAGAGGTGGGAAAAGTGAGGGAATCAATGAGAAAGAAGAGAGAAAAAGAAATGAAGAGAACAAGAGAAGGAAGGAAAAAGAGGACAGAGAGAAAACAGCTAAGTAAGAGGATAGAAAAAGATTCCGGGGGAGCTTCCATCACATAAATTATTTTTTCTTTATTAATTCAACTCCTTCCTTTCTCTAACACCTTTCTTTGAGGTGGAATAGAATCTAACAGGTATGCATATAAAAATGAGGAGTGAGCTCTAGCTGGTTTGGCTCAGTGGATAGAGTGTCGGCTTGCAGAACGAATGGTCCCGGGTTCGATTCTGATCAAGGACACATGCCTGGGTTGCGGGCTTAGTCCCCAGTAGGGGGCATGCAGGAGGCCACTGATCAATTATTCTCATCATTGATGATTCTATCTCTCTCTCCCTCTCCCTGCCTCTCTGAACTCAATAAAAAAAAATTTTTTTTTAAAGATGAGGTGTGAGGGAGAATGCAGGGATAGGTTTCTGGGCCAGCAGTCTTGTAATAGACATGACTTGGAGTAATATTCTCTGTTGACTTGTAAATTAATATAGATCCCATTGGTTTTTAATGCTGCCTATTTTTCTCTCTGATTCTGGAAATTACTGCGAGCCCCATGGGCTCTTTGTTGTGTCAAAAATGATGCAGCTTGAAGCCGAGGCTGTTGTTTTTCTGATGTCGCTGATGTGAGAACCAAAGTGTCCCAATTTGAAGTATCTCTTCCACTCTCACATGCAGAGTCTCAGCCATCTGAGGCAGCTGCCAGGACTTAGAGAGTGTCAAGGATGTCAGAAAAGGGAAAAGGGAGGAGAGGAGGGGGAGGAAGGAAGGGTGGAAGAGACCCTTCTTCCTACTTGGCAGCGGAGCAGAAATCATGGTGTCCACCGTGGGACAATCTCTCTAAGAATAGATAGTCAAAAACTGGAAGTGGCCCACCCAAATGAATGATGCAAATGATTTTCCGGTAATACTTGGGACAGCAGCTGTGTTTACCTACTGCCCTAAACAGGAGTGAGTTACTGTGCTTCTCATGGGCAGTGGCACTGAGTGTACTTTTGCCTGTAATGCCAGGGAGCATATCCTAAAACAAGAGTTCCTGAAGACAGCCAGTGTGTGTGCAATTCCCCTGAATGAGGAACAGAGAAGAGCTCATCTTCACTCAAAGAAAATGAGTCAGGCAGGATGCCAGAATCAGTTCTGCTTTGTCTTTTCTAGAAACCCATCTTCAGTTCTGGAGTCTCACTGCTTTTTTGTTCTTTCTCTACTTAAGAGAAGCCAGGAGTAAGGAATTGTATTCATCTTTGCATCAGGGCCTGGGTCCTTTCTGTGAATTTCATGAAGTCAGACGCTGTCTGCCTAGGGTCCTCCTCCCCTCCCATCCCACCCCTACCTGCAACTATCTCCACCTGCATCTTCATCTCTCACCTTGATGATCGTGTTCAGAGATGCCTTCTTTCCTGATTATGTCAGTCCTTATTTTACTTCTTCAGAGTCCATATGTGCTTCTTTTTTGTGTGTGTGGACCTCGCCATAGATGCAATCTTCTACTTATTCATTTAATTGTTGGTCATTGACAGTTTCTCTGACTACAGTCTCACGAAGGGAGGGTGTGTCTTGTTATCAAGCACCATTCAATCCCTAGCACCTAGGACGGTGCCTGACAGTTAGAAGGAGTATATGGAGTATTTGTTGGAAGAATGAAGACAAAAACGTTTGAAAGGACTTAACACAATAGCATTGTGCAATTAAGTGTTTAAAACTTTAGTACATTTAGATGACTGCTCTCTGAGAAATGTCAAAATCTCTATATTCATTATGTAAAACAGATGAATTCTTTGAGTGGGACATGGATTTTATTTAACGTCTAAGAGAAAAACAGATCAATAGGCAGTCCCCTTCATCTTTATATTGACCTTTGGCAATCTGCACACAAGCCAGAGTGTGCATCGTCTCAG